GGAAGGCCAGCCAGAGCATTAGCAGCTCTCAGGGCTGTGTGAATGGCTGCCTGCACACTTCCCAAGCCCGGAGTGACGACAATTAAGGCTCCGAGTGGCGAAAGTCACACCTTTGCAAATGGGGCTCTCTTTCCCACTGCCCTCGGCTGGGAGCCTTTGACCCCGTGCCCAGCCCTGCTTGGGGCTGCTTCCCATCAGGCACTTCCAGCTTCCGTGGGTGGGGCAAGACTGCTTTGGGTTCCTCCCCCTCCCCCCTGGCAGCTCCCAGCTGCAGCCTCCACCCACCCCAGCCAGGCCAAGCGGATCTGCCACAGGGCAGCTGCTGGGCCTGGACTCTAGGCTGCCCAGGCGAAGGCTGGCACTCTGGCCCTGCCCTTGCTCCCTCTCAGAGCTGCTGGACCCCGTGGGAGAAACCGGCTGCCTGCCAGAGGCCCAGCAGAGGGAACAGCTGGAGCAGCCTCAGGCCTTTGGCGGGAGGGGAGCCCGGCCCCAGGAGCTACAGGGCCTCCAGCTGCCCTGCAGAAGAGTGGCGGCCACGGCATCTGCTGGAGAGGCAGAGAGGTGCTTTGGGGCACCTGGCAGGCCTGGCTCTTGACTCCGGAGTCCCTGGTCCCCTCTGCCGTGCACCCCTGATAGCCCCCCCCCCCTGCTCAGACCTGAGGAGCCTGAAAGGGGAAGAAAAAGACGGGGGCGGTGCAGAGCACAGGCAGCTCGGAAGGCCCCAGGTCAAAGGCCGGTTGCTTTCCCCCACCTCTGGCCCTCCAGCTCCGCATGCCTGGCCGCTGACCTCTCTGCGGTCCCTGGGCATGTGTGGAGAGACGGCCTCCCAGGGAACGATCAGAATTGGAATCAGCGTCTATGGAGATTCTCGGCCATCCAGGTGATGGTTGTCTCAGGTGCCGTTTTCAAAAGGCAACTGGGGTGTTTTCTTCTTTCAAGGAAAAACATGGTCCAGTTGCCTTTGAAAAACGCTCCTTTGGGATGAGAATTGGTAGGGACCTTGGAGATGATGCAGTCCACCCTCCTTCCTGGGGCAGGAATCCCACCTACCATTCTGGACAAATGGCTGCCCCAGCACCAGGAGGCAGGTTCTCCATTACTTTGTAACGCTGACATTTCTGTGTCACCTCCTGACACGTTTAAAGCTTTTCCAGAGGTCCTCTTGACCTGGGTGGCATTGAGACAAGATTCAACGGATAAAGCCAGCTGTGGAGCTGGCCTACCTGCCACCTGCCAAGACACCTGCCTTCCTGTTTCAGGTACACCCAGGCCCTCGGATGGGAGGAATGGAGCTTGGCTTGCAAAAGTCCTATTGGGCTGTTTTTCTGGTGCCTCAAGAGCAAAGGCTGCTCTCTCTCTCTCCCTCCCTCCCTCCCTTCTTCCCTCCCTCTCTCTCTCTCTCTCTCCCTCTCCCTCTCTCTCTCTCTCTCTCATTGCTTTTTAACTAGTGATGGAGCAACGCATACGTTGTTCAAAACAGGAAGGGAAAAGGGTGGCATGAAGTGGCTGCGTTGTGGGCAGCAGCTGCTGTTGCGCCTGCCAAGGACAGCCATGAGGCTTCCCCCTCCTCACGTGGGGCGGCCGCTTCCCCCCTTCCAGCCGTGCCGGGCACTGAGTCAACAGGAGCAACCCGATCTCATCTCAGGGCTGGCCACCGCTCTGCCCTGCCCGAGTGAGCTTGCTTAATAAAGGGGCTGCCGAGGCTGCGGTTTTTCCTGCAAGGTTGTGCTGTGACATTTTAACGTCTGTGCTTGTGAGATGGAGAGAGAGGAAGCGGGATCCTGAACAGGCTGTGCTTTTGGGCACGGAAGAAAGATTCAAATAGTAGGATAAATGTAAGGGCAGGCAACTTCCGCTGGAAGAACATGTTGGCTTCAGGAGACCAAACTTTGCATCTACCACAAATAATATTGTATAAAAATAGACTCTTCTATGGGGACCCGTTGCTGGAGTCCAGCTTTCATCCTTTTCTTCCCAAAGACTCCAGAAATGTGGGCCTTCTGCTCAGCCAGCCCCCCCCCCCCCAGCGGCCTCTGCAGCCTTGCGTTCTTTTTGCAAGAACAGTGAAACCGTTGTGGTTGTGTGTTCTGACTTGGGTGGTGCAACGTTACAATGCAGGTCGAGAAAGGGTGACCCTCCTGGCCTGCAGCCGGAGCCCGGCCAAGTGATGCGGCCCCAGCAGGTCGGGCCCTGCGATGAGCCCCCTCCCTTTTTGGGGGGGGGGGCTTCAGGTGCTGCAATCATCTTGATGTCCCACATAGTTAAGGTAGTTCCCTGTTTCCCAGGTCCCCACGGGGGGGGGGGGGGGGGGTCCGGCATCCCCCCCCCCCCCTGCCCCCCCCCTCGGGCCTCACCCCAATCTAAATTCTTCCTCTTTTTCAGCTTGTTCTTTGGAACAAGTTGGAGACAATAAAACAGGAATTGACCAATAGAAACTGACCTTCCCAGCCCAGCAGAGCAACTTAGAACCGTAGGGCTGGAAGGGTCCTTAGAGGTCTTCTAGTCCATCCCCCTGCTTAAGGTAGGCGCCTTATGCCAATCAAAGGGTCGTCTGGTCTACTGAAATCCTTCCGTGACGGAGCACTCACAACTTTGGGAGGCAAAGCTATTGCGCTGATCTCCCTGTGGGAAGTTTATTCCTTCTCGGTTGGCTCTGTCCCCTCGCTCCTTGTCCTGCCCCCAATCCGCTCCTCTGTGACGGGAAGACCGTTATCCCGCCTTCTCGTACCTAACTCCCTCAACGGTTCATCCTAGGATTTAGCCTCCTGCCCCCAATCTTCTTGGTGGCTTTCCTTGGTGAGACCCCGGCTGCCCGATTGCATTCAGTGTTGGCCACCAGGCTATTAAATAAAGGGTCTGAAACTCTTCATCTCGAGTGCAGAGAAGCGCAGCAAAGGCGATGAGGGGATGAGGGTCAACCCCACAGCCAGGATCACTCTTCTTCTTCGTAAACGTAACAACCCTGGGGGTCTTGGTCAGAACTAGACATGTTTGGAGACACGAGAGAAGCAGAAGGCGGCTGCTTTGGGTCTGACGGGTGGTGGGCTCTGGGAAGGGACCTCAGGAGGCTATCTAGTCCAACTCTCCGGCCAAGGCAGGAGCCCTTATATCATCCTGGAGAAATGATGGTCCAATCTTTTCTTGAACACTTCCCACAATGGAAGACCTGTAAGTGCCGATGGCCGGCTGTTCCAGGGCTCCCTTGTCCGCTCTGTCAGGAAATGCCTCTTTATTTCCAGGTAGGACCTTCCTTCGTTAGGCTTCCATCCTTCAGGTGCTTGAGAGAATAAGCCAAGGCCTTCTCTGTGACAGCCCCTCAGGTACTGGAAGGCTCCTATGACGTCGTGCCTAATCCTTCTGTTCGATCGGCTGGGCGTTTCCCATTCCCTTGGCCATCCCTCCTACGCTTCAGCCTCTTTCAGACCCTTTCTCCTCCCATTATCACCTTCGCTGGTGGACCAGGAGGGCCACTGCTCTAGGACAGGCCTTCCTCAGCCCCTCCCTGCTGGATCAGCTCCTCTGAATTCAACTGGCTTCTGTTACAGCCCCCCCCCCCCCCCCTTGTTATTGTCCCCCCCGTCTCCCCCCCCCCCCCCAAAGCTGCTCAACCCATGAACATGGAGGCTAGCCGGCTGTCGGGATAGGCGCTCCTTGTGCAGCCTTGCCAAGGACGTGTGGCCCAAAGGATGCTGGTGCAGGAGTCCTGTGCCAGCCCTTGCTCCATTGTTAATACCCACTGCAGACACAGAGCGCTGCATCAAGATGTTCGCCATCACAAAATCTGCCAAGGCCTGGCACCCGGTCACCCCCCACGGGGCCCATGCCATCTCCCCCCTTCTCCAGCAGTCACCTCCACACTCCATTCAAGAGACTCTTTAATTTACACTGTTGGGGTCACAGAGTTACAGAGGGGCCTTGCCGCGGCCTCAGAGAGTCCCAGCCCTCCTGCTCCTCGGCCCTCGGGAGTCCCTGAGGTGCCACATCCCAGGCGCTGTTGGTCCTCTGGCCGGAACCCCCGACCCACAGCAGCAGCACCGGCTGGTTCCCCCTACGAGTTGTCCTGGAACCACCGAAGGACGAGCGGCTTGTTCTCGTCCACCCACTTGATGTTGGCCTTCGTCCTCTCCAGGGCCTGCTCAAGCGCCCGGGTGGCAGAGCCGAAGCCCACATCCGCGTTGTCTGCCTTGAACTGCTCCAGCTGTCAGCCAGTCAGGACGGGAAGAAGAAGAAGAAGGAGGAGCATTTTCCCCAACCATCCCTGCTTGCCGGGGCTGGATCAGATCTGGGTCCCCTCCCCCACCCAAGCGTTCAAAGGGCCTCCCCACCTCCTCACCCTGTTCTCCCTTCTGCCCTCGGACGGGGCAGGATGAAGCACTTCTGGTCGCCCAGCAGCCATTTTGAAAAACCCCGGCCAGGTAAACGGAGCCGTTCCAGTTGCCGGCCAGGGAGGCAGCGCCACCTTTAGGAGATGCCTTGGCCTGGTTCTCTAGTGCTTTGCTTCACTGGGCAGATCCATAAAACGAGGACTCGGCTGCCCCCAAAAGGTGGCTGTGGCTCTTTGCAAGGCTCCCGCATAAGCCCACCCGCCGTACCCCAAGCAGCCTCACCTGCTTAAGTTCAAATGGAGACGCAAACCTCTTGGTCACCGACTGGATGAGGCTGGAGAAGGAGAAGGAGCTTCCCCCAAATCTAGGAGGGGAGAGGGGCGGGTGAGTGGCTGGCCTCTAGTCACCCAGCCCTGGGGGAGGAGGGGGCACACTCACTGCTGGAAGAGGGTCCTCCAGTTCATGCGCACAAAATCCCAGGTCAGGGTCTGCCCCACCACGTTGCTGGCAATGCTGTTGATGGTGGACGTGGCATCCTGGCGGCGGATCAGGGAGGAGTTCAGGGTGTACTGAAGGTACCTGCAAGGGATCAACGGGGGCTCCAGGAATGTGCCCCCCCTTTGCACAAGACCCACAGCCTGGCCTTCCTTCCTTCTCACGCAAGGGTACGATTGTTGGACGGGGCCACAAGGATCTTCCGATGCAGGAAAACCATCCCTGAGAGGTGGCCTCTTCCCCAAAACTCTCCCGAGATGGAAAAGGCCCACCTCTCAAGGGAGACTGGACCAATCCTCCCCTTCTCCTGAAATCACCCCCCTGCCCTGGTTTGAGAGTCAGGGGTCGTCTGTGGGGTGCCTGAACTGCGCCCTGGTGCTAAAAGAAATCCCGGCCGCCTCCCCCACTCGTCTCTGGAAGTCGGAGGGAGCCCCGTGGGCTGCCACCCCCACCGCCCTGGCCGAGATGGGCTCACCTCTGAAGGATCCAGGGCACCTGGCTGCAGGTCAGGGCCGAGCGCAGCCGGTCAGCCTCGGAGATCACCTGGGCCTGGCGAAACATGCTCCAGGCGAAGTCCCAGGCCTCCTGGTCGCCGGTTCGTATGGCGCTGCAGTAGATGGCGGAGCGCAGATTGGGCGGGATCCTGGAAGCGAGACGGTCACTGAGAGGCCCCACGGGCAGCGCAGGAGCAGAGGGGAGAGACGGGGGCAGGCGGGGGAAGGGGTTTGACTGGGAAGGAGGCCCAGCACGTCTGAAGGGCTGCCTGGGGAAAACGATGGGCCGGGTGGGAGGGTCCCTGCCACTAACTGCCCCCAAGGGGGCTGCAACTGAGGAGGGCTCCTTTGGTCCCAAAGAGCAGGTGGCCGCCAGCAGGGAGGGAGGCACCTGTGCCAGAGGCTGAACGTGCCCTACTCAGAACCCCCCCCTCCCCGCACTGCAAAAAGCAGTTTGCTGGACAGGGTGTGTGTGTGTGTGTGTGTGTGTTTGTCCTCCTGCCCAAGAAAACACAGTGGCCAATGCCTTTGAAGGCCAGTTTGCCCGCCTGGCAAAGGCAGGTGAGGGAGGGAGGATTTGCTGGGCCTTCCTGCCCCCCCCCCCAAAATCCACTCCAGCCTGGAAATTAAAAAAAAACTTCAGCTCAGCCGGAGTGATGCTTTCCTGGTGATGGCATTTCAGTGGCATTTTCTTTGGCTACCAAGAGAACAAACTTTCCGGGGGGGGCGGGGGGCAGGGAGGGGCTGACTCTGCAGTAGCCCTGAAAGAGCCAAACCCCAAAGATGCGGAGCGGGGGCTGCGCTCTGGCCCAGGAAAACCGGCTGAAAACCCCGACCCACCTCGTCTCCTGGCACCTTTTCCTGCACGGCTCCCTGTGGAAAGGCCCCTCCAGCCCTGCCTCCTGCCCCTCCAAGCAGCCTCCCCACCCACCAAGGGGCACCACCACAGGCTGCCTGGGCTGTGGGGGCGGGAAAGAGGGAGGAGGGCATTGGACTGGAACCCCTTGCAGCCCCAGGGAGGCGGGCATCGGGGGATGATGGGAGAGCTGGGGGGGGGCAGCCATGGCAGTGCAGTGGATGCCTGGCCCCCTTCGCAGAGGGTTGCTGCCATGCTGGGGCATCGCTGCCCTCTCAGAAACCCTCCGGCCCCAGGATGATGGGAGGACATCCACCCCCTGCCTCGTTCCTGTCAGGGCAGCGGGGGGGGGGCAGGAACCCCTTTTCCTTAGGCCTCTGTGAGGGAGGAGGGATATCTGTGGGGCTGCGAGGAGGGGCATGAAAGGTGCCCACCTGGAATCCCACCTGCATTTAGTGGGCTGCCTTCTTTAGCAGAGAGCCCTTCCCCCTCCTTCGTCTGCTGAATGGGGGGAGGGTCCCTGGGGGCTCGTGGTGAAGGCAGAGGACACGAGGGGAGAAGAGAGGTGAGGCCCGAAGAGTAGGGTGGGCGCCTCTGCTCTGGCCCAGCACCTGAGGGGAAGAGGTGGCCAGAGGCCCCTCGTCCAGCCCAGGGGAGTGGAGTTGGGAAAGCCCAGGCCGTTGCCTGCTCCCCAACACTGAGCAGGAGGGACCAGACTTGCAGGGGAGAAGATGGTGGCCTGCCCAGAAAGCAGCTACGCTCTCCTGCTGGTGCCCCCTCGCCCCCAGGCCCAGGCCCTCTCTCGCCTGTTGACGGTGGGGTCGGTTCTCCAGGCCTCAAACCAGGAGGAGGCCAGTTTGTTGCACTCGGAGACGCCATTGGAGCAGGCAGTGCTGATGGCCAGGATCTGGTTATACCTGAAAGAGGGAGAGAAGGCAGGGATACGAACTCAAGGGGAGGGACTCCTCCCCCTTTCTCTTGCCATGCACAGACAAGCCCCCCCCCCCAAATCCCTCCTCATCCATGGAGACCCACTGGTTCATCAAGCCGTCTGGGATTTCGGTCCAGTTGCGGGTGACGTCCCTAAAGTGGTCGAACAAGGGAGTGACCTGCTTCCGGATGTAGCTCTGTAAGAGGAAGAGGACGGTCTGACTCGGAACGCAGCTGGAGAGCAGCCCCCTCACCCCCACCCGGGATCCCCTCTGTTGGAAGGGAAGGGGGCAGCCGAAGGGCCGAGGCCGGCTGGAGCTCACACCTGCATCGGCCCGTAGACTTCGCTGCGGTCAAACATGAGGCGGAAGTAGTCCAGGTTGTCCAGGGCCGTGTCCCAAGGAAGGTACTCCCTCTCCCGGCTCAGGTAGCGGGTGGTGCTCAGGGCCAGGTCGCTGCCCACGTGCTTGGCTCTGAAAGAGCAGCAGAGGGGCTGGCTGTGGGGCTGGCCGCCTCGGCCTCAGGACTTGGCCTGGGTGGGTGGGAGCTTCTGGGGGCAGCATTTCAGCACAGCCCAGGGATTTGCCCAGGGTGCACCAGTCTTCAGTCCCGGCCTCCTCCGGGATGCCAGCTGGGAGCCAAGCTGGCCCAAGGAATGCCTGCCAGCCGGGCCTGCCCAACAGAACCCGGATCCCCTGCTGGGAAAACAGGGGCCGGCTGCTTTCACTTCTGGGGTTGGCTTTGGGGGAATGGGTGGCTCCCCTCAGGTGGAAGTTGGGAGTCCCAGGATTGTGGTTGTGCAGCAAAGTAGTAATGTGGTATCTCATTTAATGACTGCTTCACTCAGCAACCAAAGATTCCAGTCCCAATTGTGGTCATAACTGGAGGACTATCTGTAAGTCCTTAGGCAGAGTGAGGAAGGGAAATCCTCGGAGCTTCAGTAGACTGGAAGGCAATCTGGTTGCAGTTCTGCTCCCCAGCAACAGGGGGAGACAAAGGGATTCTCACCTGGCCAGGTTGAAGGCATCGTCGATGATCTGAGCTCGATTGAGAACGGGGATCTTCTGCAAAAGGACAAGGCAGTCAGAGAGACGGAGTCAAGAGCTTGAAAGAGAACAGGAATCCCTTTGGCTCGCAAGCTCCGATCCTGCCTGGAGACCGTTGCTAGTTGTGTCGGCAGGGAGCTCCCTGCACTGGGGGGCCCTCAGAGGGCAGCCCCTCATCCCGAAACGGAGAGCGAGAGCTGAAGCCTTCGAGAGAAGCTGGTTGGGGGCGCTTGGGAGGCACGCAAGGTGCCTGGGGACCCGGAAGGAGGAAGGGCTCGGGGGAGAAAGGAAGCGCTCCCTGCTTTCCCACTCGGTACCTCTTGGAGGCCTTCCCTCCCCCCCCCCCGGGGCCTGTTTCAGCGCAGCCCTTCCCGGGACTGAGAGGGGGAGGCGGCCCTTTGACAGCCTACCTGAAGGTCAGCATTCAGCTGAGACATGAGCTTCTCCCAGTTGGCCAAATCATAGTTTACCCGGAAATAGCCCACGACATTAATGTTGAGTAGCAGCCACTGGGCAGGATCGGCAGAAATGGAGAAGTTGGCATTTTGAGCTGCAAACAAGAAAGAGAGGTGGCCCTGGCAGAGCTCCCATGCTTCTCTTCGGGGGGCGACAGGTGAATCTTAGAGATTGTGTACGCTTTCAAATCTCCCAAGCTCCCTTTTGAAGACCAGGAGGAGGCCCCCAAGCTTCCCCTCATCTCCTCGCCACCGACTGGCAGCAGATCAAGCCAGGGCAGGCCAAGTGGGCGCACCCTGAGCCATCTTGGGCCAGCTAGCAAAAGCCACCTGGGCAGCCTTAAGCAAACTTGTAACTCCGTACAACAACCAAGGAATTATACCTGAACTTTCCGTGAGCCAGTACACCTCTGCCTCCTTCCCTGTGCTCAGCCAGGAGATTGGAACAATCCAGGTGTAACTGCGGGAAACCGGCTGTCAGTTGAGCAGCTCCTCGCTCTGCCTCAGCCTGGCCCTCTTCATTCCTGGACGGCAGGAGCCTCGTCTCCCCAACAGCGGGATGTGGCCCCCACCCTCCAGATATGCGCCGAGCCAATTCCTCCCTCTCGCTGCCTCTGGACGAGGCTCTTTCCGCCCAGAGGTCGGACCTCTCCCTAGGGGCTCCAAGCTCCGGACTTACTTGAACGGTGAGGGTCGCTCAACAGGACTTTCTGGGTCCAGCAGAAAATGTTGTTGGGTGATGATGCCTGAAGTGGTATTAACTGTGAGAACCGGGAAGCCCATCTGCAGGGTCCAGCGGTCCATGATGGTCTTGACGTTGTCTGGGAGACTCACGTTCTTCCTGGTCACTGCCTGTCCCAGGAGCATCAGAGAGACTCAACCTGAGAAGGTGGCTCCTGGCTCTGGGCTTCTGAAATGCCTAATCCCAAGATGGGCTTCCTGGTAGGAAACGCTCCCCAGGCAGCCTGAAGTTGACCGAGGTCCCACCAGCCTTTGAAACGCAGCTCCTCTCTCTTATGCCATGGGCCTGTCCCTTCCTCAACTGGGCTGGTTGTTGGCAACATGGGCATAAGCCCACCGAAGGGAAGAGGAAATGGTTCCCACTGGAGTTGGCAGACACAACAGCCTGCAAGTTCAGGGGACCCATCGGAGTAAGATGGAGTACCCAAGGCTGAGAACCAAGGCCACTTGCCAGGCAGCGGAACTTCACGCTCATCCCCTGCTGGGGACCCAGGGATCCTGTTACTTTTAGTGTGAACTTTGCACTGGAGCCTTCAAAAGGAAGCAGCGCATGGCAGAAGGACTAGGATGATGGGGAAAGAAGAGAGGTAGGAAAACATCCTGGGATTCAGTCATTCTGTGGAAGCAGCTAAGAAGGGGCTTTAAAACGTACCGTCTGCAGTTGTTCCCAGAGGTCATCGCAAACAGTATTTTTATACTGGTAGGTCTCAAAGTAGGACTGTGGAGGAAGGAGAGTCAGGTGAGCCGAACTCCCAAGCCCAGCAAAGCTCCAGGGGCCTTTGGGTGGGTGGGTGGGTGGGTGGGCTGGGCTGCTGGCCCTTCCCTCTGCAGCTGGCCGGCTTCCTTCCCCTGCCCTCAGGACAGGGAGGGGCCCAGCCCGAAGCCACCACAGCAGCCCACCCAGGTGTTGGGGGAGTTACCTGGCAGACGGGGAATCCAACCGCCCCAGAACCTGATGATGGCAGCCGCCGCCATGGAGGGAGATGCCAGGGCCACAGGAGGGGGCACAAAACCCCCCGTAAAGTGGGTCAGAGCTGCTGCTGGGGCAGCGAGGAAGCTACCTGCGGCAGGCAGGTGGGCGGGACTCAGAGGGATCCCACCAAAGGGCCTCCTGGTTGCCGCTGGTTCTTCACCAAGGTTGTTCTGAGCTCCCTCCCGAAAGGGCCGCCTGGAGCCCCACTCAGGCCCAGCAGCACAGCCATATGTGGCCCCGTGGGGCGAGTCGGTGGGCGTCAGGGAGGGGAGGTGAAGGCGGCAGCCCCTTACCTGCAGCCCTTCACTGAACACGGGCTGGGTGAGGAACTTGGAGAGCATTCGGATCACAGCCGCCCCCTGCAGGGAGAAGAGAAGCTGCAATAAGGCAAGCACAGCCCCCCCCCTCCCACTGCCCCCCCTTTCCTTCCGGACAGAGGGAGAGTCTGCAGAGGAGGAAGGAAGCTTCCAGAAGGCCCTGCAGAGCATGGAGCAGGCCTGGCCCCCGGCTTCTGGTGGGCAGCCCTGGGGACCGTCTGAGGAAGAAGAATGCAGCAAATCCCTCTTGAGTTCTCCACATCCCATGTTTCATAGCTGTGAGGAGGCTCAGCAAACAGATTCTGAATTCACAGAATGACGGAAGGGACCTTGGAGGTCTTCTAGTCCAGCCCCCTGCACCCACAACTTCTGGAGGCGAGATTAATTGTTCTCACTGACAGGACATTTCTCCTTAGTTCTAGGTTGGATCATCCTTGGGAAGTTTCCATTCCTTCCTCCTTGTCCTGCCTTCAGGTGCTTTGGGGAATAGGTCAAGCCCCTCAAATATGGGAAGACTGCTATCAAAGCGCCGGCTGGTCCTTCTCTTGGTTAGACCATTTCTGCAACTATTCACCACTCATTGTAGCCTTCAGCGCACTGATGGTCCTTGTTGCTCTTCTCTGCACTGTTTCTAGAATCTCAAGACCTTTTTTGTATCGTGGTGACCAAAACTGGATGCAATATTACAACTGTGGTCTTCCCAAGGCATCATAAATTGGTACTGATGCTTCACATTATCTTGATTCAATGCAGCCTGGGGCTGTGTTGGCTTTTCTGGCAGCTGCAGCAGCAACAACACACGGCTGGCTCATATTTAAGTGGTTGTCCACTAGGATTCCTAGATGCCTCTCGCAGTTACTGCTGCTAAGCCAGGTGCCACCTATTCTGTACCTGTGCATTCAGTTTTTGTAAGTAAGTGTAAAATCTCATCACTGAAGAGCATTTGGTTGTACAGGGCCCGGTGTTCAACTCTGTCAAGATCCTTCTAAAGCGCTAGCTATTCCCCCTGGCTTGAGGTGACCTGCAAATTGGATGAATTCTAACTCCTCTTCTAAATCATTGATGAAGATATTGAAGACAACAGGGCCCAAGACAGAGCCTTGAGGTACCCCACTGTATGCAGTTCCTACATGCTGAGCGGGGTTGATCAGCCAATTGAGAATCCCTCTGGGGAGGGGTGTGTGCTGTCTATCCCACATTTTTCTAGCATTCCAAGAAGTGGGTTGTGGTCTACTTTGTGGAGTGCCTTACTGAAATCCAAGTATATTATGTCTGCAGCATTTCACTGGTCCACTAATTTAGTCACTTTGTCAGAGAATGAGATACGGTTTCTTTGGCATGATCTGTTTTGACAAACCCATGTTGGCTTCTGGTTATAACTTGGCTTGCTTCTAGGGGTTTGTAGAAAGCCTTTCAAAAGATGGGCTACTTTCCTTATGTTTCTTGAGACGAGCTTACTTTTACCAGCACCCCTGATAGATTGGGCCCTTTGGGAAGGAAATGGATCCTGACTAAGAACCCTGAAGTTCTGATAGAGCAAACCGTGACCTCTTCGGTGATGGGTGAAAGGCCAAAGCCTTCCCTGGCTCTGCTCCTGCTGGAAGGACTCAAGCCGCCTGGGAGCAAGGGGGGAGGGGAAGCCCTCCCACTCGACTCGCACAGCCTGTCCAAGGTTGATCGGGGGTTTTTTCTTTCACATGCCAGTCCCGCCTCCCAACTTGCTTATCACACCCACCCACCCTCCCTCCTTTGACGTGGCCCTGCATTTTAGCTTTTCCCCGCCTGGTGGGATGCATCACCCTTCTCTTGCTGTGGGATGGATTTCCCTGCTCCTGGCATTGGCCTGCATCTGCCCAGAATCCCTTCTGGGGTGAAGGCGGCCCGGCAAAGCTGATAACAAATCCCTCCTTGGTTTCACCAGGCCCCCTTCTCACCTTACTGTAGGAAATGGCGTCAAAGACTTCACTGATCTGAGCTGGAGTGTTGATTTCCTCTGCAGGGCTGGAGAGGGGGTGTGAGGAAGCCAGGGCATCAATGGCCATCACACGGTAGACGTCATTGGGTACAATCAGGTCTTCCTGAAAACGGATGCATGGAACTCAGATCGCAAAGCCCCCCGGCGGGCCCCGGGTCCTTCTCCCACCAAAGGCCACAGGGGCAGCAACCGTGGCCGTTCCTCCTCCTAGATCTGTCCTGGGGACCTCGGATCCAGCAGGATCATCTTTGTCCCTGGAGAAGCCCTTTCTCTCCAGGACCAGGAAAGGCACGTCTAGATGAGCTTTCTCAGCCTTTCAGAGTCTTGGGCTACAGGCACCAAACACTCTCAGCCAAGCCAGTTAAAGGCCCAGGGCTGCCTTCAGACAACATGCTGAGCCTGGGAGAAGAGAAGAGCCAACCAGTACATGAATTTGGCACGTTTGTGGCTCAGTGGACTCTACTGAACCAGGAAACGGGTTCAATGAGTGGAGTCAGTAATCACATTACACATTGTGTGTAAACTCCGCTTAGTGAAAGAGCTGCTGCGGCCCAGGAATCTTGGCGGTGGGTGAAATGGACTTCCAACAAACCCCTGAAGCCCCAGGACTCTTCCTCCGCCTGGGCTTCCTCTTTCTGGGACTAGCCGGTTTTCTGCTGCCCGGCTCAGCCCTTCTCCCGACCCCTTCAGCATGTGCTCGGCTCTTGGCTGCAGGCCCGGGAGGCCCCCGGACTCCAGACCCATCTACCCTTGTAGGCAGTCTAGATCTCGCCCTGGGCCAACTCTTCTGCTGCAGGGGCCCCTTTGGGCTGGTCCAGACCAGGAGAAAGTGAGTGGCTAGTGTGAGTTTGGACAAGGCCCCTCCCCTATTGCGCTGCTCAGCCCCAGCCCTTGGCTGATCAGTTGCCCTGGCCCAGGGGTGCCCCCGTTGCCCCCCCCCCCCGTCCCCCATCCAGCACCCCACATGGCACTTACAATATTCCATGTGGACTCGGCTTCATTTGCACCCAGATATTCCACATACGACGCAAAGCCCTCGTTTAGCCACAGGTCATTCCACCACTCCAGGGTTACCAGGTTTCCAAACCACTGTGGAGAGGAAGGAGACACTTTTCCTAGGAGCCCCCGGGTACGTGAGGGGATGGCGTGAGGGTGGCAGGGGTTCAGCCAGAGTGGATTGCCCAGAGGTTCCCTGGCATGCCCTCCACGTTGGAAGGGATTCAGTTGCTCCAAAAGTACAATCTGGAAAATACCTGGTGGGCAACTTCATGAGCAATCACTGTCACAATCCGTTCCTTGTTGCCGATGGAAGAGAAATTGGAGTCAAAGAGTAGCGCACTCTCACGGTATGTGATCAGCCCCCAATTCTCCATTGCTCCAGCATTGAAATCAGGAAGGGCGACTTGGTCTGGGAAGAGAAGTCCGTGCCAACTGAACCCAAACCACCCCCAGCCCTCCCCGTTCAACCTCGAGCCACCCCCCCTGATTCAAGGCATCGCCCCCCGTAGCCCTGCAAGGGGAGCAGGGAGCTTAAATGCAAGGGAGTCGCTCGTTGACCTTCTTCTGTGTGGTGCTAAGTTGCCAACAGTGCCCAAGACTCTCTGGGAATGCTGAGTGCAAGAATTGGGCGGAGATTAAGCCCATGGGGGAGGGCCATGCCCACAGGACTCCCCTCGTGACTGAAGGCTACACAGGTCCCCTCACCCCTGCCCAGAGTCAAGACTCCCACCTGTGACTCAGCCCTCCTCACCCACCTAATCTCTCCAGAGGATAAGGCACATTGTACTCCCTCTCGAAGAAGTTGAGGATGGGCCAGGAGACATTAAGTGCATAGTCTCCCTGGCCCTCCCTGATCGACGTGGGGCGGCCCCAGATCTGGATCTGAAAGAGGAGCCAAGAACAATGCTCAGGAAAGGCCCCTCTTCCAAGGCAGAGCGGCCGAGAGGATGCCCTCCCAGTGGGTCCCCCTCCAGAGCAGGCCTACCAGGGTGTTATTCTGGATAGCAGACACATTCTCAAACTCGCTGACAATAAAAGCAAGCAGGTAGGTAGACATCCTGAGGGTGGTTTCAAATTCAGTCCGCGTCCAGGTCGATCCATCCATTGTCACTTCCTCCGTCTCTGGAAGGAGAGGCAGGGAGGAGGAGGGGTGAGCTCAGCCCCCTTCCTTGACCCCCCTCCTCAGGAGGAATGGGCTCTGTCTCCCCAAGCACAAGGAGGAGAATCTGGGGAGGGAGGGAGCCCTTCTCTCTTTGCCCTTAATTGGCCCATCATCCTTTGGGCAGAGGCCCCCTGACCCCTTCTCACTCCCTCGCAGTGTCCACTGACAGGCCTGGGTAGCCAGAGGCTGCTGGGACAGTGGTCGCCAATCGGTGGGCTGGGGACCACAGGTGGTCCGCGAGAAAATTTTGGTGATCCGCAGAGAAATGTCACCCCCAAGCACCCCACAAAGCAATCCACACTGTGTGGGAACACAAGGCTTGCGTCACTTGCATTGCGCACAGCACAAGGTGGTGAGCGGAGGGGGGAAAGGGCAGAGGGGGAAAATTTGCCCCATTCGCCCCACGTGCCTGGCCTGGCTCCCAGGCCGCTTCTTTCCACTTCTTTCTTCTTCTGCTTTTGGCTGCGTGCAAGGAAAGCAGCCAAAGTCTTTCTTTCTCTCCCCCAAACTCCGCCAGAAACGAGTCTTTGGGACCCTGCAAGGCCTCCTGCTCCAAGAGGCTGCGCTGGCAAAGACTCATTTCTGGCGGAGTTTGGGGGAGAGAGAAAGACTTCTGCTGCTTCTGCTGCTTTCCTTACATGAAGCCAAAAGTCTCTCTCTCGCTCTCTCTCCCCCTGAGAACGGAGCTGGAGACGGTATCCTGCGATCCCAAATAAAGAATGATTGGTTGGTAGGAAAACAGGGTGGGGGGTTTTCCTGCAGGCTTTTTGGGGGATTTTCCCAGAGTCTCTGGTCTGCCGGATTTAAAATTATGAATTTGGTGGTCCCTGAGGCCCAAAAGGTTGGCGACCCCTGCTCTGGGGGCCTCAGCAGGAGGGATCTCCTTGCCCTGTGTGCAAGCAGAGCAGTCCTCCCCTTTGGAGGCAGAGGGCGGGTTTTCCCCGCCATGGAAGGCAGCCCAAACCTTTGAGCCGACAGAGCCTTGAAAGGCTGCGGGGGTGTTCTGGCCGTCAGAGGGCAAATTGCCTATTTCAAGATTTTGCCGCCACCCAACCAACTCCTAAAGCCTTAAGCAGCCTCTCTGCATTTCTTGTAGCCCCAGAATCTTCTTCCCACCCCCTTGAGACACCCCCCAAACGCGCCCCCTCCTGCTGAGCCAGTCATCTCCCAGCCCCATTCAGGCCCCCCTTGGCTTCAGCTCAGCCCCCAGTTTCCACCTAGAGGGAAGGTTTGCCAGCCTCTTAGACCAGCCCTGGTGCCAGCCAAGAGCCCCTACATCCTCCCCACTGCCCAGGGGAAGCCCACCCACACCCCAGTTAGGCACTTACTTTTAGCAGGCATGTTGGAGAGCGCCTTATATTGGGGCAAGTAAATCAGTGTGATGGAGAAGTTGGCCTTCATGGCTGGCTCATCAAAGCAAGGAAAAGCTTTGCGGGCATCAGCAGCCTGCATCTGGGTTGTAGCCACCAGCCTGGAGAAAGACAGGCCCCAGATGGTCAGTCGGGATGCCCAGGAAACTTCCTACCAAGTGGCCTTGCTCTTTCTATTCCATCTGGCGCCTCTTGAGGGGCTACAGACACAACCACAGGACAGGATCCGTCTGCAGAGCAAAGACTTCCCAGCCCAGGGGGCGGACGGGCACTTAGGAGGATCCGCTGCTCCATGGGGAGCGGCCGAGAAGTTCTCTTTGTCTCATGGCTCTTTCTCAGAAATAACATTTCCTGAGACACAAGTAGGGGAGCGACCCAGTTCGCGATGGATCGGCTCATGGGGCATCAGCTGCCTCCTAGGAAGATGCAGCTGGGCCAATCACACTCCCAGCCCAAGTCCCAAAAACTGCAGTGACTACCATGATGGAACAGATCTCTGCGGGTCCCCTTCCTGTCCCCATACTTCCCCCCCCACACACACACCTCTGTCCCTTCTCCTTACTTGGTCACCCCTCCTTCTATATAGGTGCTGCGGTAGAAGCCGGCCAGGTCATCTGCCAGCTCCCCAGTGAACATGGTGTGCAGAAGATAGGACTTGTCCTGCTGGAGTTTCTCTCGGAGTTTCACCACCAAGTACTCCGTCTTCTCCTCCAGCCAGGTCCTTTCGATGGCAGGTGCGACGGCATCAATTCCTTTCAGGGATGCCAAAAATGTATCCTGCAGAGTGTAATTCAGCTTTTTGCTGTGGATGAGTATGAGGTCCGTGGGCTCCTTGCACTGGAACTCCACCGTGCTTCTGCCTTTGAAAATGTTTGGGGTGATCTCTGTCAGAAATGGCTGCAGAGAGATATTGTAAAATGTGGGCATCAAAGTTTTGGGCAATCGGAAGTGGTCCCAAGGCTCCAAAGGCTTGGTTGTGATAGTGCTCTTGGCACTGGCCGTGGTGGCTCCGGTGGCGCCGGCCGTGGTGGCTCTGGTGGCACCGGCCGTGGTGGCTCTGGTGGCGCCGGCCGTGGTGGCTCTGGTGGCACCGGCTGTGGTGCTTATGGCACCACCGCCAGGCTTGATGGTGCTGCTTGGGGCCTGGTTGGCGACCGCTTCGTCTGCCCGCTGCTTCTCCTGGGAGTAGACGACCGAGAGGGCGATGATGGTGGCCACGGCCCCCAGGCCCAGGACGATGCCCACGATCCCCAAGGGCTTGCTGATGAAGAATCCTTTGGCCATGGCTGAGGAGAGGCCGGGGCGGGTCTCGCACACAACAGGATCCGCTAAGGCGCTGCAGGTCCTTTATATAGATGCTGTCTCTGGGGATTTATCCGTGTGATGAAACATGTCAATTATTAAGCTGGGAATGGTGGGCAAAGGTCACTTCTGCTCTGTGGCCATCTTCTCTTATCTTGTGAGAGAGTTAATGGAGAACTGGGTGCACCTTGATGCGGTTCCTGTGGAGCAAATCAAGCCCAGTTTCAAAGGACCCCCAGGGCAACAGAGCCGCCTGCCTCCCACCTGCCTCTGCACTTGGCCGAGTCCCCGCCATTCAGGAGGAAGTGCTGGCCTTGCGAGGACAGGTGGACGTGAGATTTGAGCCCAGCCGGCACACTCACTACCTGGAATTTGCCAGCCTCTGGGGTTTCCCCAAGACCCTTTTGCCACCCTTCTCGTTATCATTTTCATCCGTTTAAAAAGTACAGGGCTTTTTCTTGAAAATATTGTATTTATGTTAATAAATCAGTGGTTCTCAACCTTTTCCTCACCGTGGACCCCCCCTTAAGTGCCTTTTGTGGCCCCCAAGACTTAATATTTAAATCATTACATTTCCTCAAGCCTTTGCAGACCCCCTGTGAGGACATTGTGCCCCCCCCCCAGGAGTCCGCAGACCACTGGTTTACATGATTCAATAAACAAAGCACTTAGCACTAGCACTTAGAGTGATATACCGCTTCCCAGTGCTTCCCAGACCTCTCTAAGCAGTTTACAGAGTCAGCCTCTGGGTCCTCGTTTTACTGACCTCAGAAGGATGGAAGGCTGAGTCAGCCTTGAGCTGGTCAGGATCAAACGCCTGGAAGTGGAGTGCAGAGTCAGCCTGCAGTACTGCATTCTAACCACTGCGCCACCATGGCTCATTCCATGAATGCATCATTTTTAAAATATGGTAAATCAATAAATATAATCCCTAAATATATCTGATTATATCAATAATATAATAATAATTATATAATATATGATTATATCAATAAATATAATCCCTACAAACCAAAGCTCTTTTGGGGTCTTCCATAATTTTTTAAAAAGCAAGCAGGACATTTCAGAAATATTGTCCTAGGCTAACATCTCAGTTGTAAACTTAGAAGCAATTAGCATTGTCTGCTCCACCTGTCAACCCTGAAGCTGACCTGACCGGGCCATATTGGAGCTTCAGTGTTGCCACACTGGAGCTGAGGGAAAGGGAGGGGGGGTTAGAGATGGGGGGGGGGGGGTTGTGTAGCCAAAATGAAATACTTTCCCTTGAGAACCAAGGACATTCTCACACCTGGACCGTGGCAGGAGGAGTGGGGTCACCGGGCAACCAGACGGCGTCTTGATTGGACCATGTCACTGATTGTTTGGGGTTGTGGGAAAACTTTCTCTTTTAATTAATAATTAATTAATAAAGCTATTCTTTGGGGGGATTCACCTCCTCGGAGTTTTCCTTGCTTTGGGACTATTACTTGGAACCCTGACATCACCCTTTACATGTGAGATTTCCCACCTGCTCAGACATCAGAGTGTGTCCATGTGTGCCAAGCCCTGTATGGGGTGGAGGCTGGAGATCGTGACTCGGTTCTGTCCAGGCCAGACCGTCCCTGGGTCTGGGTCTGAGGAAGGAAACCTCCTGCAAGCCGGTTTGTTCCATTGTTTAACCTCAGCCAAACGACTTCCAGCGGCTGCATTTACCTTCTCCGGGGGCCTCCCCCGCTGCTGAGCTGAGGTGCCCTCCACCCTCCCGATTAACTGGTTACCACTGCCGGGATTGTCTCTGGCTACGGCTGTGTGGTCAGAAAACCGGGTTGAGCTGCTGGTCTTCAGCTGCAGGAAAATACCTGCTGCTCCTCAGAACAGCAGCAGCAGGAGGAGGAACCGGTGGGATCTGGCTGTAGGACTTGCTCGTCCCTATTGCAGCTCTCCCTATTCGGTCATAATCTATTGATTTAGAACATTTGCCTGGCTGCTCAACTCACTCACAATGATTCCAGGTGGCCAAATAAAAGCCCAAAGGGAAATGACCCCCCCCCTTCCTCCTGATAACAAGCAAGAAACCTGCTTGATGGCCTCGGTGTCACCCTGATCCCAGGTCTCCAAGGCCTTTCGAAAGAGTGTCAAGGTGGAGGAGGCCAATTTTATCTCCACGGGGATGATGTTCCAAAAGAGGGGGCCACCACAGAGAAGGCCTCTCTTCTGGGTCCCACCAGAAGGACCTCCTTGCAAGAGGAGGACACCCTAACATACTCTGCCTCTCGGCTAGGATGGGTCTTCAAGTAAATCTATGGCTCCAAGCCAATCTAAGTGGAATAAACTTTTAAAATAGCCATGGCCACGAAGACAGCCAAGCAGCTCGAAGCAGGGCAGAGCTCTGGTCCTGTCGCGCCTTTCAGCTTGTTACACCTTTTCTCAGTGGGCCGTCCTCACAACCTTCTAACGGTGGCACAAACACGCCCCGGTACTTGCTCTTTTGCGTGGCGTGGCCTCATTGCCTCTGACTCATCCCAACCGGACCGAGGCGGCTCTATCAGTCTGTCACAGCCTTCTCTGGGGCAGAAGAGAGCCCAGCCACGGTTATGCCGGCAGATCCTTTCTGAGGCCCGGAGACCGAATCAGCTGGAAAGGACACAAGCCCAACCTTCGCAAACTGACCTGGAAAACCAATTCCACCCTCCGCAAGAGAACTCTGCTGAAGAAGGGACACTCGCTGCCTCCGTGGGTCTTGGACAGACCTTGCCACATAGGTTTTTTTTTCTTACAATAAAATGAAATATGGACGCTTGCAATGTCTGTCCCAGTTTCTGTGGCTGTGAAAAACAGTTAACGTACCTTGGGTACCACCAGATCTTTGCTCAGTCTTCATTTCTCTTGAATGTCCCTGGTTCCAACCAGCCTCCCTTCATAGACGTGTCCTCAGGTCTCTGTATCAGCTGCCTGATACGCTCATATTCAGCTGGTTGTCAATAACTACAAGTCCTCCTTCAATCTGAGGCTTCCAAGTCATAATCTCCCATCTTAATTTCTACATCTTTTTCTCCCTACATATCATAAACTTAGACTTTTCCCTATTAAAATACACCTCCTTCCTGTAATCTCCGTTTTCCAACTTGTCCTAATTAGATTGCAACCAACTCAGATGTTATGTCATCCACAAATCTAGTAAGCAGCCCATGAAGTCCATTATCTGGGTCATTAATAGAAATGTTGCATAGTACTACCCCAAGAGAAAACCTACAAGTTACCCCTTTCCAACTTCATCTCACTCTCTGAATGTGGTTAACCAACCAGTTGTGGACCTACCTTACTGTAGTGTCACCCTTTAATAGTCTGGCAATGAGGATGTTTGGGGAACTTGTCAAAGGTAGATTATAATCAAAGCATTCCTCTTGTCCGCTAGTGAACCTGTCAAAAAACAAAGGTAAGTTTTGATTAACCTGTCCTGGGCTTTTTTTTTTTTTTTGAAAACCATGCCGACTCTTGGCACTCAGCACTGCTTTGAGATGCTGATTAAACACCTGCTTTACTATCAGCAATTACCTCTTTCCCTGGTGAGAAATCTCTAGAACCCCCCCAGCCCATTGACTTCACAGACACACACACACACACACACACACACACACACAGAGTGATCACTGGCAGAGGTCCTGCCAGCTTTTCAGGGCCTTCCAATTAGGGGGAGGGTCCACTCCACCCCTGTTGTGTTCGTTTGCAGTCGATGTCACGGAACCCACCAATTCCTTGGGATGCAAAGACAGAGGCGAAATCGGATAGGAGCTCCTCCACATTTCCCCCCCCTCATCTGTTCAGATTTCTCCTTCTGAAAGAAGCTGGGAGCCCACCAGCCCTTTTGTTGACATTTTTGGAGAAACCCCTCTTGATGCATTTTGCCATTGGGATCTCTTGCTTCCTTTCTGAGCTGAGGTTTTTTTAAAGACTTTTTTTCCATTGACAGCAAGAACATTCTGGAATCTCAATTCCTTTGTAAGCTACCTGTTTAACTGCATTGACTTCTTTAGATGCCTCCTGGTTTTCTTCCCTACTGGATTGCATTCTTGTAATGCATCTCTTCAGAAATCCCAGCTGACTAAAACATCTTTGCCTTTAAAGATTTATTCCCACTTGAACACAACCATCTGAATGCATCTTATTACATTGTTTTTCACTTGTGTATCAGTTTATTGTTATTTCACTATCGTATTCTACTATACTATTTCAAACTTATACTGTTTCAAGCTTGGTATCAATACCTGTGCAAATCCTGAAACAATAATCAAGTAGTAGTGGGTTTGTGAACATCTAGATGTCAACAAGGTGATTACTAGACCTCAGCATGGGTTTATGAAAAACAGATCACGTCAAACATACCTTACTGCCTTCTTTGATATGGTGACTAATTTAATAGATCAGGGAAATGCTGTGGACGTAGTTTGTGTAAGACTTCAGTAAGACATTTGATAAAGTAGACCACAGCCTGCTTCTCGGGATAGTGTGTGGGATAGACAGTACCATCACAGATGGATCTGCAATTGCCTGACCAACTGCACTCATCATTATAATCCTTCATGGAACTACATTTACACGGAGGGAAGCATGCAATGGCGTACCTCAGGTTCTTGGGCCCAGTCCTCCTCAGCATCTTTATAAGCGATTTAGATGAAAAGGTAGAAGGAGAACTCACCACATTTGGGGACAAAAACCAAGCGGGGGGGAATTGCTAACATAAGCTCAAGATTTAGAAGGATCTTACCCGACTTGGGCACTGGGCCCTCACAGCAAGATGCAGTTCAGTGGTGAGAAAATTAAAGTTTTACACTTAGGCAAGACAAACCCAATGCACAGATATAGAATAGGTGGTGCTTGGCTCAACAGCAGTAACTACAAGAGGGATCTTGAAGTCTTAATGGACAACCACTTCAATGTGAGCCAGCCATGTGCTGCAGCTGCCAAAAAAACCAACACAGTCCTAGGCTGCATTAACAGAGGGATAGCCTCAAGATCACAGAAAATGATAGTACTGCTCTGTAGTATCGCTTTCTGTACTGTACTCTGCAGTAGCGAGGCCACATTAGGAACATCGTGTCCAGTTCGGGATGAAGACATCCACGGTCCTTTTCGACCCTGTGATTCTATGATTCTAAGCCTTGGGGTTACATTGTAGCTGCTCTCCCGGTGTTTTGGGGAGGTGGCCAATGGGACTGACCAGAGCCTGGGGGGGGGAGGGTCCCCTCTTCGCCCATCTGCAAAACCACAAAGCCCTTCTGAAGCCCTTTCCGTGACCTCCAGCGTTTTGGAGGGTGAAGCGCATGAGCCTTCAGTGTCTTGTGGTTGTGTCAGAAGAAGGATGACAACGCGGCTTCAACAGCAGCCTGTCTGTACCGTATGTTGCGGGGTGTTGTCTTGGTTTGGGGGGGCTTTGAGTCAATCTGTGCTCCTGGCGACTGCAAGGCAAGGTTTTCAGAGGAGGTTCTGTCCTTTCTGGCCTAATGTTGCCCAGCTGCTCCACGCCCAAGGCAGGACTAGAACTCACAATCTCCAGGTTTCTAGCCTAATGCCTTAACCACTACATTGAAGTGGCTTTCTTTGTGTGAATTTACTAAGATTTATATGCCCCTCTGATCTGTGGCAATTCAGGATGGCTTACAAACCCTGTCCAGCAAGAGGATTAAAAGCAGTACATTAAAACAACCACCAAAAAAGCCCAACCCAAAGAAAACAAAAATGAAGCTGCAATATGCAGTTTGTGCCAAAGGAACAAACAAAAATAGCAAGTCGTACAGCACACAAAGGTCTGTCCAAAGAACTTGGGAGAGGCAAGTCCTAATGGTGCTTCGGAATGTGAACAGGAAGGAAAAGCAGCCGGGGGTGGCTGGGAAATGCTCTTGGAAGAGGGGGGGGAAAGCCCTCCCTACGAAGGCCTGAGCCTCTGATCGGCAGGACCCGGAGAGCCCACAGGGAGCAAACCCCACATTCCCTCCCAGCCGGCCGGGGAAGGAATCCTCTGCAAGTCCCGTGAGCACCCAGGACGCCACAACAAGCCCCCTGCTAATATTGCCTCCCCCGCCAGCAGGCCGCAATTGGGGTCGGCTGCCAACTGCTCCGGGGGGGGGGGGGGGCTGCAACGAGCCCCACGGAGGGACGCCTGTGAGTCCCATTTGCTAGTCAGTTCCCACACTCTCGAGCATGGCTCTCCTCCTACAAGGTCTCTGTAGCTCCAAAGTGTTCTTGGATTTTGGAGAAGGTTGTGAAAGTAAAACTTTTTTTGCGCTCCCTTCCATGAATTCCGGGTCAACCTGAACTGGGGTCACAAACTGTGGTTTTCCTCCCTTGGTTGTCCCATTCTCGTCAAATCACTGATAGAGCAACAACTGAAGCAAAAAAACATTTTCATTTCAACAAATGTGGTTTCTTCCCCAAACCCCAAAACCTTTAACCTTAGACTGTCTACTATTGACCTCACCCCTTTCCTAAGAGGCCTGTAGGGGGCGTGCATAAGCGCACCAACGTGCCTACCGTCCCTGTCCTATTGTTTCTTTTTTATTTTTCTTATATGTATTCATAACTATGTTTATCCTTATACTTATTATCTTGTAAGCGATTGACAAATCAAAATAAATAAATAAATAAAAAATAAAAAAATAAAAATGACCTCTTCTGAAGCCAATCATATACATTTTAAATATCAAGTCAGGGTTCACATCCAACCACTTTGTTTTTTTGGGGGGGTGGGGGGTTGTCTGTAAAGCATTACAGAGGTCATTTTTGACCAGTGGTGGGAGGTTGAGTGTTCCCTACAGGGCCAAGCTGTGCAGCTACTCTCAATCCCTGCATGATCTGTGTGACACGTGTGAGTGTGAGGGAAGGTTTCCAGCAAGGGATGAGCTGCACTGCATTGAACATTCTTAGAAAATGACTTGGCTTATGCAAAGGGCTTTAAATTAAAATCGGAGGTGTTGAAGGCCAATTTTAGAACTTAATCCCAAACATAACCCCAAGACAATGAATCAAGTGTAAACAAGAAGGGAACCTCAGATACAAAACAGAAGAAACAGGAAGCAAATGTAGGGCCATTCAAAGAGGACTCCAACGCCTAAATACCAACACTTGAAGTATGAAAAACAAAGAGGGTGACCTTCAAGGCCTAGTTAGATAAGGGCATGTACAGGCTATTACCAAAACTTGATGGGATGAAACCCATGACTGGAATGTTACGGCTAGAGAGATTTAAATTTTTCAGAAGAAACAGATTTAACAAGCTGCATTAACAGAGGGATACAATCAAGATCAAGTGAGGTACTAATACCACTCAATAAAATCTTAGTAAGGCCACACCTAAAATACCGCATCCAGTTTTGGTCACCACACTATAAAAATATATTGAGACTCTAGAAAAAGTGCAACCAGGATGATTAGGGGACTGGAGACATACGATGTCCAGCAGGAACTGGGCATGGCTAGTCTAGTGAAGAGAAGGACTAGGGGAGACAGGATAGCAGTCTTCCAATATCTGAGGGGCTGCCACAGAGAGGAGGAAGGAGTCAAGCTATTCTCCAAAGGAAATAGCAAAGGAAAGGAAGGAAGAAGACGAGAGCGAGCGAGAGAGAGAGAGAGAGAGAGAGAGAGAGAGAGAGAGAGAGAGAGAACAAAAGGAAAGAAAGAAAGGCATCTGAGCAAACCACGGATGGACAGAAGACATATCTAGTTTAAGGAAAAGAAGGATGGGGTGACATGATAGCAGTCTTCGAATGTCTCAGGGCTTGCCACAAAGAAGAGATGTAAAAACAGATGTTGAGACTCTGGAAAGCGTGCAGAGAAGAGCAACCAGGTTGATGAGGGGTCTGGAGGATAAAACATATGAAGAACGGTTGCAGAAACTGGGCCTGGCTAGTCTAGGGAAGAGAAGGACCAGGGGAGACAGGAGAGCAGTCTTCCAATATTTGAGGGAGGGGCTGCCACAGAGAGGAGGGGGGGTATCAAGCTATTCTCCAACGCACCCCAAGGCCAGACAAGGAATAAAGGATGGAAACTGGTCAAGGAGAGGTGCAACCTAGAAATAAGGAAAAATTTTCTGACAGTGAGAACAATCAACTCATGGAACAGAAGTTGCCTTCAGAGGATGTGGGAGCTTCATCACTGGAGGCTTTCAAGAAGAGACTGGACTGCCATCTGTCAGAAATGCTGTAGGGTCTCTTGCTTGGGTGGGAGGTTGGACTAGATGACCTACACGGTCCCTTTCAACTCTGTTAATCTAAGTAAGAAATAACTATTCACAAAAAGAAAAAAAAAAAAAAAAAAAAAACACCCCACCCCAAAACAAACCAAGGATGAAAGCCTTCTTAAATGGATTTGTGTTAAAATCAAAGGAAAAGGAAACAACATTGACATGGGTGTGTACCGCAAGCAAC